TATTATTATTATTATTATTATTATTATTATTATTATTATTATTATTATTATTAACGATGATGCCAATAGCTCAAGATGGCCAAAAAAAATAAATGATGAGCGCCTGATTCCACTTTTCCATGACACACAATATTATGTTGGGAAGTGGCTGAGAGTGTCTGCTTATGCCCCATGTAGGGTACGTATAGAGGGTGATTCTGGCGTTCAGCTGATGCGGGGAAGCAAGAAGGGCCCAGAGAACTTCTACGAGACGGGAGTTGTGTCCTCTCGGTTCAACGCCATTCACGACCACTCCAACTACGCCAGCACCGTTGGTGAGATGTTGTTGCTGCTGCTGCTGCTGTTGTTGTTGTTGTTGTTGTTGTTGTTGTTGTTATTATAGTTATTGTGGTTGTTGTTGTTGTGGTTGCTGCTGCTGCTGTTGTTGTAGTAGTTTTGTTATTGTTACTGTTGTTATAGTTATTGTTGTTCCTTCTCCTGTTGCTGCTGCTGCTGTTGTTGTTGTTGTTGTTATTATTGCTGTTGCTGATGCTGCTGTTGTTGTAGTTGTTGTTATTGTTATTGTTGTTGCTGCTGTTGTTGCTGCTGTTGTTGCTGCTGTTGTTGTTGTTGTTGTTGTCGTCGTTGCTGTTGTTGTTGTTTTTGCTTTCCTTACCTCTGGTTTTTTTATTGCTGCTTTTACATTTTCGTGTTGTTGTTGTTGTCGTTATTGCTACTGCTGCTTATGCTGTTGTTAGTGGCCTACGGTCATCACGGAAAAGCGCAACGATGCTTATATCATTTTCTTCTTCTTTAAAAGCCTGTAAATTCTATGACTAGCCCCTTCACCGACATCTTTTTTGTCTCTCTCTTTTACCTAATCAAATACAATAAAAAGTGAATAAACGCCACACTATGTTTGCCAGACACAGTCCGAATCAATCACGGTACAAATAAAAGATCAACGAAAAGATGGGTTGTCAACATGCCGAATTCAAGAGGTTTTAAACTTTTATTATTATTTGACCTCTTTTTCGCATACACATTCTTACTCAATATCGAAGCGTTGTTCAGGGCAAAGATTTCAGCTAAGCCTATATGCTTGCAGTATGGATATCCAGTAAAGTTTTTAAATAATAGCTTCAGAAATGTCTGCTTTATCATGGAATTACTCCTACATTTTTGTCAGTGCCTTCACAGTCTGAAACTACAAAATCGGAATACACATTCGTTTGAAAGAGGCAGTAAAGTCATACCATACCATACCATACCATACCATACCATACCATACCATACCATACCATACCATGCCATACCGTACCATACCATACCATACCATATCATACCATACCATACCATACCATACCATACCATACTATACTATACCATACCATATCGTACCGTACCATACCATACCATACCATAACCTACCGTACCATACCATACCATACCATACCATACCATACCATACCATACCATACCATACCATACCATACCATACCATACCATATCGTACCGTTCCATACCATACCATATCATACCATACCATACCATACCACACCATACCGTATCATGTCATACCATACCATACTGCACCAAGGCACGTTTAGACCCTAAATAAAGCAACTGAACATCCACCTATCTTACCACCCATCCTTCCTTCAAACTGCAACAGAAACCTGTTTTCTTCTGATAATATTTTAATGCTTGTTTTCGACTTCTCAGTTTTATTGCTGATGCTGTTTTTCTTTGCTTGTATACTTGTTGTTTTTGTTCTCGTTGCTATTATCTTTATTACAATGTCGCTGTCGTTATTGCAAATTATGTTGTTGTATTTTTTCATGCTCTTGGTTTTGCAAGAAAGTTGTAGTTGTTCTAGAGGAGATGGTGTGTTTTCTTTCCCATTTTTTTCTTTTCCAATAAAAAAAATCGCCCTGCTTCCAACAGGGATGGGAGAAATAGCTGTCGTTCAAAACGGCGTGGAGTTTCGAACCAGGCATAACGACTATAAGCTCAAAATGCCCTCTACCACCTCAACTGAATACCACGCAACAGAGAACGTTCCGTTTCCCGATGTACCACCTGAAGTGACCAGTCTATCTACGGTGGATGTAAGTACATTGTACTTGAATTTTGTTTTGTTTTGCTTTTGCAGGTGTTTTACGGCGCTCACAACTGCATAATAAGGTCATTTGAGCGCGCGGGACACGCCAAACATTTTCAGTTCGGAGGACATTTTGAATTTTCCGTGGGTGGCTGCCGAAGCCTACTCTTATAGATTTTTGACCTCCAAGGGATCTTTAACGGGCGCAACTTGCACACGCGACCTCCGAGATTTTTTGCCCTTGCCCGAGAAGGCTAGGCGTAGATCTTTCCTACCAAAAGATCAGGGGTGTGGCTGAAAGACAGCAGTAAGAAGGAGCCAAGGAGTAGCATTAGAGAGGCTGCAGAAAGAGTCAGGAGCCCAGAGGAGGAGGCAAAGGAGGTGGGGGAAGAAAGTGGAGACAAGAGCAGACAACCGAACATTGCTAGAGAGCAGGAAAGGAGGTGAAAAGAGACAATTTTAGAGAAGAAAATGTTTCCGTCGCTACCCGGATTCGAACCGGGGACCTTTGAATGACAGGTGAACACCTTAACCTCTGTGCCACGAAAGCCCCCTGTACTTATATCTTATTCTGTCCACCCGTTCATTAACTTGATGTTCATGAGTAATGTATCCAGTCAGTTCCATTTGCTGCTTCACCTGTTGATTGCCCTGGTTCGAATCCCAACAGAAGGCTTTTTAAAGATAGGTCATGTCCGAAATGATGGGCAATCTGAAGTTACTGCCTTTTAGATACAATTCGAAGCTTTGAAAGAAACTTTAAGCCATGACACAACATCGTGTTCTTCTTCCCACCCTCTTTCTCATCTATTCTTGTATCCACTCGTCCCTCCATCTTACAATCCTTCTATTCACCCGTCCCTCCACCAACCCATTCTTACATCGTCCACCCACTGTTCCATACATCCATACATTTTTACATTTTGCCTTATCTCCATTCACTAATCTTTCTATATTGCTACCCTTTCATCCTACAATCCTTCATTTCATCCATATTTTTATTTTCACCGACAACTCTATCCACTCGTCACTCCACCCATCCATCCTTCCAACCACCATACCCTCCCCACCAAAAATAACATCCATGGTGCCATCCTTTTATCAATCAATCCTTCCACCCATCCTTCTTTCCACTCTGTCATCCTTCCAGATGCCCATCCGTCCATCCTTCAATCAATACTTTTAATTCAATGTAGTCCCATGTCCTAACTTTTTTTTAAAGCTATCATAATCAGCGTTTGTGGTGTAACGGTTTGATGCTTCGCCGCCGCATGCAAGAGGTAGTTGGACGTTGCTTTTCTGACCTGTCTTCTATAAAATACCCTGTCCCTATCCCCCCTGTCTGATTGTGGAAAACGCCTGCATTTAAAAATTAAACACATAAAAAGATGCCATAATCCGTCAGTTTGTCATTTTTATCATTTCTTCTCGTCGTATTTTTTTAAGGAACAGTTTGTCATTTATATCGTTCATTATCGTCGTATTTTTTGTAGGAACAGTTTGTCATTTATATCGTTCGTTATCGTCGTATTTTCCTCAGGAGCAGTTTGTCATTTTGTATCGTTCCTTCATGTCGTATTTTTCTCAGGAACAAATCGTGGAGATGAGAGAATGGTTCAAGGCGTTTGCCACCCAGAACACCACACACAGAGACTACAGGGAGTATTTCAAACCCATCATGTGTTACCTGGAGGGCGCCTGGACGCTGGACGCTGACCTAACGGAACCGTTTGAGAGTGACCGACATCACATTGATGCTAACTCCTGGTTTGAGCTGCACGATATAGTAAGGGGATCCTAAGGGGGAACGTGTGATGAATATTATATATTATTTTCAAAATTGTTGATCTCAGATCCCAAGCTGTTCTTTTGTCGGGCAGTTAAACGAAAATGTAATTTAGTCATACTGGAGGGCAGGGCTCTTTTTAAGTGGGGAGAATTTCTGTCGAGTACAGTTATGTGTCTTTCTGCTATGGCATTGCACTCCTCTCAGCCCGTTTAAGCCTTGACAGGCAGTCTTTGCCTGCCTCCTAAATGATCTAAATTGTGTCGATAGAGGTGTATAAACATCTACACATATAAAAGAATAGCCCAGTAGAAAAAATGTGTAGAAACACCTATTTATTTCGAGAAGTGTGAACAGATAAAAACACTATAAAACACTGCGTGCTTCAGAAAACAAACAGCTGTAATGCTATAAACATTCTTTGTAAAATAATTAATGCTATCATTTTAACCACGTATTCACCTCGACATGACCATCGTCGGTATATGTATCTGCGTGTGGAAGAAGAGTTGGGGTTTTGCTCGTAATATCATAGGTTAATTTCTTTGAGTTGAGGCTTTAAGGGCAGCCTCTTTGTGCTGTGATCATTACCTTACACCCATTGCTCCGTTTTGGTCAGGTGCGATACGCCTCCTACACGGGCACAAAGAGCAGACTCGAAAACTTTGCCTACCTGCCCACCACCATCATGTCTGTCAATGAAACTACAGGTAAAAACCAATCTCCCTGCCTACATGATAATGATAATGATAATAATAATAAAAATA